GGTTGAAGTGACAACTGGAACGTTAATACTCACCTGAAAATGAGGTGATGAGACGCATTTGGCCAATTGTGTGAACAGAGGTTTAATGATCTTGCGAAATTCGGCTGGATCAACCACATCGAGAATTTCCTCAAGCTCGTTGAGGAACATCACCTCTTTGGGACTGTGAGTCTTGGGCCAGAATTTGAGCAAACTGAGAATCACCTGTAAAAGATGTTGACAACCTATTGAAACAAATCACATAAACTATCATGCAGAACAAGAAAGAATAACGTCCTCATCACGTAGCACCTTAAAAACATAATGCTGATTAGTTTGTTTGTTAATAGACCGACATTATTATAAGAAAAAGGATTAGGTGTGTGTTGCAAGACCCTTCTTCATTGTCTGTTTGACAAAGTCAAAAAAGCTGGTGAGGCGACAGGTTTATAACAATGAGGACAAACGCATTGGGGCTGTAAGGGGAAAATCAGATGAAACTGAAGTAAACTGTGTGAGCACACAAGCAGGAGATGGGAGGAATCAAACGACGTACAAACGTATTCGAACTTACCGGTTGTGTCAAAGTAGAGTCTTTTTCCAAAAACTGGATTACACAATAGGCAAGTTGGGCGTGATACATGCTCACGGATTTCACTTTATGCAATGGGAGCAGAACGCGCATCAGAAACTGTTTATGCTCCTCTTTCAGAGGCACCATGAAACCGTTGATTATGCTGAGGACGAGAACAAGTAAGATGCCGTTAATCACAGATCAGAATACTCGTTGTGTTGAAAAACAGGTTCATTGGGTAGAATATAGTTCATTTGTGGATATCGAGATAAACCGGATTTCTACATGTGATTTAGGTGAATCCGGTAAAGGTATGAGGATTCAGTAAGTTCACACAAGATTAATGGGACTACCGCCACCGGAACATGCGACAACAACAACTCCAAAGTATTTTGAACAAGTGAGGGAAGAAGAATGGTAGGTATAACATTATTCGTTTTAACGTACAATAAGCCACTAGTGAAATGCCGTTTTGTAACCCCGAATGACTAGGCCCTGTTAATAGTCGACCGAGATACGACCAGGATATATTCGATTTTTTCCTGCACTGAAATGTGTAATTGATTTATTTTTTGTTATCGATACGTGTACATAAATTGTTTCAGTTTTAGATTTTACAACCATCAACTATGCCCTTTCGTGCGCCGGTTTTGGTTGCTTATTTTTGTCTCCCATTTCGATAAAATAACAGAAGGAAGATTCGAATGTTGAGAGTAGAGTGAAAGAGATTATAGAGAACTCATATGGACTGGGGTTGCAAGAATGAGTAGGTGCACGAGCGCCACTCCCTGAGACACTCAGCCATATCGTTCTTAGAATTGACCCGTTGGGAGGATCAAGAGCCCCTTGATTTGAGTTGGGGTATCATAAGCCTTAACTCAACAATGGCCTTCGCATTATCTCCAACAGCTCTTGTTTTGGTAGCTTGACCTAGAAAAAGAAAGCACGATTCAACGGAAGCAGTTTGATTATTTGCAAACGGCAGGCCGGAAACTGCAATTCATGATATGCATTTCTAAACTCAATGGCCTGGTACATACGACGACATGGAAAACAGAAAGAAAAACAAATAATCGCAGTGACTCTTCACTATGCATGAGAAAAAAAGAGCGAAGAATGTTGTGAGGAGGTATGAAATGTGTGCAATAGCAAGCTGAATCATTCGGTTCGGAAGGGGGGAATAATAATAGCCATTAAGATATAAACAGTCAAGGTAGAGGTGAAAAGGGTCTCGTAGACCCTGTCATACAATCTGAAGGGAGTCTAACCCTTTTGCGAACATCCCATTTTTCTGAGAAATATTTTACACTTATATATCCATTTTCAATGCAATGATACCACGTCCTTCAAACGTTTATTCCCCTCCTGACCAGACTAATCATGGGACAGTAACAGGAATGAGCTAGATGAATTCAAGAATTTATGATAATAAAGCAACTTGGTGTTATTATTGTTAATTATCCATGAGGCAAACGCTCGACCTGCATACATAGCAGTGGCTAGGGTAGGTTACGCCTGCAGTTCAATACACTAGCTCAGGGTACGATAGTCGATGAAACAGATAGCGGATAAAAATCAATGGAGATCAGAAAATGACCTAACACAAGGGGGTGTAAACCTTGATCAGAAGAACCTCGGGATCAGTCTAATTGATGGTTAGGGACACGGGGTGATATGGGTGTGTCGTGACCAGCAGTGGCCTTGTATTGATTCAATTAGTGCGCATATATGGTTTACTTGCATTCTGCGCCTTCATTTTGATAGTGCTCTCATTAAATCATTCCTCAATATTTATCCAAACAGGTCGCCAAAGACAGAAACCTAGAAGGTAAAAGATAAATGATGGTGCAAATGGAAACTGAAAAGTGAAAGTCAAAAGGGATTTGTGGTTGTCAAACAAAAATTGATTTTGTTCAATATTTGGTATTCTCAGGAAGTTAAAAAGTTGTAATTTGAAGTATTGTGTCTCAAAATATTCCTCTCCAAGTAGCAGTGTAGCATTATATTGCTGGGAAGTTCAGCAAAATAAAAAAAGGAATGTAATTCATATGATCATGCCCTGTGCATGCTTCACGGGCTTCGTGAAATATACATTATTATTATTATTATTATTATTATTATTATTATTATTATTATTATTATTAATGGTATACCTCTTAACGGAACAACACAAAAGCTTAGTTGTGTTTCACACACCAACTACTTCATGTGTGGTTCAAACACATGAAAACAGTCAATTAGATAACGAAGGGAAATAAATCTTTAATGGGTTGTGACAATTCATTTCTTTTCTTCGAAAACTGAGGACCTCTGGGGACGTTGGACAACAACTTAGACTATTTGTCCAAAGTGGAGAGTGCAAAAGCAGTTACAACTTATCGCTTCTTTCAGCCTAGCATCAGAGGCCATGGGAAGAGACAATGACACATGGGGATTCAATACCTAATTGCTAATTTGATGTTTGAGTAGCACGAGTTTCATTAATGTCAGATACTAGATGGACAGAATCCAACTGTAACGGCACAATGACTGGACCGCAGAACACTCATGGGATGCCAACGGGTTGAATCAATAGAAATATATGGTCGACACTTTCCCTGTTATTCAATGAAAAGGCACATCATGGTGACATGACAATCTGGACCGAAACAAGAGAACGATGCTGTTTGGATAGGCATCAACAAATATTGTGTGATACCAGATCGAAAGCCAGCCAGTTGCACGATACCAATACGTAACGATGTCAGTTAATGTGAATAAGCATTAATGCGACATTTGATCGCTTTCGGTTTCCCCGAATGCGACAGTGAGCAAGCCCAACGGCGAGATCAAGACACCAGGAATAAGAAAAACGAAGAACAGAGCATATATGCTAGCCATTGGACTGTTTGTATGAAAAAAGAAACGCACTCAGAAAATATCTAAAATGAGTGTTTATTGCAAGTGCATAACGAAATACAAAAACAATCGATAATCAACGAATAAAAATATTACCTGCCCAAAATTTCCAACAGTTCGGCGATTCCGTTATGATACTCTGTTTCGTAAATAAATCTGCGACCAAGAACAGAAATCTCGATTAAGTAAGATAATATGAAAAACAAATATTTCAACAAACCACGCGAATTATATCCTGTACAACTCAGGGATAACGTGCGGATGACAGTTCCATTGAAGTTAGTGAAGTCTGACATCAATTGTGACTAGGTGAACTGGGTTAGGAAAACAGATGTCACGATTGATAACACTTTTACCTACACCCAAATGGATGCGCATTGCCAGGTCATAAACAGTGATCGAAACAGTTTAGTGATAAATGAACGCAACACCTCTCTTCACATGAAACCTATCAGAAAAGCGCAAAGTTGGGGAGGGCAGGTGAAACCAGTGCTATTTTGTAAATTACCCGTCAATCTTAATATACTACTGGAAGACGAGGTAGCACGGTGTGGTTCCTGAAGTGAACCTAAGGGGGTGGGGCAAATTCATCAGATTTACACACTTGTTGCTCACAGTCTAATTGTATGCAATATCATTGAATAATCACATGCATACAACAGTAAAATGGAGGGAAATTATGTATATAGCTCTAAATACTGGCTGTTACAAATGCACATATATCGCAGGCAACAGCTTTCGACAGAAACCTAGAATTCATTCAATGTGCTAGTTGACAAAACAAGAAAATGTGAACAAAATTATCCCCTGAAGCAAGTATTTCACTGACAAGTAATCAATCTACCCTAACACCGAGGATTCCGAGAAGAGTGAAACGGGCAGTCAAGTGATGAATAGTCCAAATAAACAACACCAATGCGAACAACTTACTTATAAAAAATATTTCCAAACTGTTTACGTATGAAAGCACGTATTCCAAGAAGTTTCCCATAGACGCGATGCAAAATGGTCTTGACCAAATCTCGTTCTCGGGGATCTTCACTCTCAAATAATTCGAGAAGCTGTGAGAGAAATAGAGTTGCGGATTGGACCACGATTATAATCGACGGAAGACTAATCAATGCACTTTGAGAGGGAGAAGACACGGAAACAAGTGCAGGTTGAAAATCTAGACGGAACAACGAATCGTGTTTGCCAATGGAATGATTCACCGAGCGCGTAATTCTCCAGAATAGAGAACAAACTACTGTATAGATCAAGCTTCACAGTATCGATTTGTGCCACGAGAGAAAACCACGTTTTCATTGGAATAAACAACCTTAAATTCTTACATCATTTCGGGATAGATTGGCCCAAGGCTTTAAAATATATGAGAATGCACGTGGGCTACATTCAGTTCAATTTACAAAACAATTAGATGTATGTTGTCACAATCATTATTCGTAGTCATCTTGAGACAGGAAGAAACAAAACACATTTGAATCCTTTCATGTCATCGCTAAAAATCATCCGAAATTATTAAACTGGACAAGGGACATATGGCAGAATATGCTTAACACCGCATGTGTAAAAACTGAAACTGGAAAGAAAAACACTTCCGATACAACGCGCATCAGATGCGTACACACAAATCTTGTCATACTGCTTCCCATCTCAACCACTGCTGCGGGTCCAAGTCAGACAGTCTAGGGTTTTGATTCCCTACATATCCGAGCAGTTGATTGCCGTGAAGACAATAGGACTCGTTCTATTTTACGATATTTATTACTCGCGTTTTACCGTTTGTTCGTCTCCTCTAGTTCACAACGAAAATTTAGGGATTACCTTCATTGGTTTGAGGTAACACGAAGTGCACAAAACTTCCTGAAACCGCTTTGCAAACCAACACGCGAATAATGTACACGCTACATTTTTACAGCATATAATAGATCGATCGATTAAAGATAGTTTTTCAGAATACACGCGGTCTCTTGCTGACTATTTGTGTCAGAGTGAAAATCGAGAGACCAATCAATTTTGACAGGCGATTGAGAGAATCGATGAAGGAAATTGAACGAAGTACGGTCCGTGCACCTGAAGGAATCGCACGAGAGATGGCGATACTCGCAGGCTCGTCCTTAGGAGCAGACGGAACGCATGCGTGTACTGGTGAGGAAATCGAATGACAAATAAATGCGAAATAAACTTCATTTTCGGCATTGTTCTCTAGCTCAGATACAATGGAACGCAAT